TATTAAAAGTACCAAGGGGGAATCAAATAAAATAAACAAAATTTAAATTAGCTGAACAAAGATTAATCAAGTTTCTCACAATCTTTTGGGGTAAGTTTCACAAATGGTACCTGAACTTTAGCTGGAATTTCGAAGTGGTACCTGAACTTCAAATCCTTTCACAAAAATCCCTGAACTTACACAATCCTTTCACTAATGAGCCATTAGCCCGTTTCTAGGTTAACTTCCGGTCATTAGGGCCAAATTCGAATTTTATATATTTTAAAATTTTCAATTTGACCCCATTTCTTCTTTTCTTTGCTTCCACGCCCCGCCGCCACCCGCCGGTCAAAGTCACCGGAAAATGAACTTTTTCCGATTCCGGCGGGACCAATGTCATTCTCTTCGTCTTGAGACGAGGCGAGGATCAATAATATCCAAACCATTTTGCCTAATTTGGTCTGTAACTTCTCGAATCTGAATTTTTGTACTCGAAAAAATCCTAAAATTCGAAATTAGATCCAAAATTGGGGGTTTTGCAAATCTTCATCAAATCTTGCAATTGAGGGTCGGAGCTTTTTCCGGCGAAATTGACGGCGGGCACCAAGGCCAATGCGGTCGTGGCATCCGGGCGACCTCCAAGGAACCCTCAATTGCAAGATTTGATGAAGATTTGCAAAACCCCCAATTTTGGATCTAATTTCGAATTTTAGGATTTTTTCGAGTACAAAAATTCAGATTCGAGAAGTTACAGGCCAAATTAGACAAAATGGTTTGGATATTATTGATCCTCGTCTCAAGACGAAGAGAATGACATTGGTCCCGCCGGAATCGGAAAAAGTTCATTTTCCGGCGACTTTGACCGGCGGGCGGCGGCGGGGTGTGGAAGAAAAGAAAAGAAGAAATGGGGTCAAATTGAAAATTTTAAAATATATAAAATTCGAATTTGGCCCTAATGACCGGAAGTTAACCTAGAAACGGGCTAATGGCTCATTGAAAGGATTGTGTAAGTTCAGGGATTTTTGTGAAAGGATTTGAAGTTCAGGTACTACTTCGAAATTCCAGCTAACGTTCAGGTACCATTTGTGAAATTTACCCCAATCTTTTGTGAAACTCTGATTTCCATTGTTGAAGCTTTCTCTGTTTGCTTAATATTTGAGCTCTAAAACAAGTCTCATTTCATGGTTCTATAAATTAACCAAACGAACCTGAGCCAAACACGAGCCGTTCTCCGAACATTATGTTTATCTACTGCTTAATCCCACCAGCAAACTCTTTCAAACCAATAAATAGTTCTCCACTTCTTCACCCTCTTCTGTCACTGCTGCCGGCAAGAAAAGCATCAACTGCAGAATCCATGTCGAGGGGAAAGAAAACCCTGCAAGTGTTGTGAAACAACGTGTTGCTCAAATGCTCAATGTCAGAAATGCCCTTAGCCCCAGCAACAACCTCAACCACTTGCCTAACCAAACATGGTTCATTGCGCCCCTTCACAATGCATTCCTCATCATACCTATCTTTCTTCTTAGATGGCCACAAAGATTTCATGAAACGGGTCCCAGCATGCGTGTTCTTGATCTCGCAGTAAGGAGAATCTGTCTCAATCATCATCCTATCAACAGGAATGCCCTTCAAAACCTCGAGGTTCTCATCAGTCTTCAGAGAGCAACCATTCACACCTATGAAAAGATTATCAAACGCGAGAAGCTTGTCTCGGTCCTCTGAACTATCTGTGAAAGAGTGGACAACCCCAGCAAGAAACTGACTCTTGTTCCTTTCAAATATGTCACAGAAGTCGCAGGCAGCCGCTCGCATGTGAAGAAACATTGGAAGCTTCATCATAGAAGCTAGTTCGAATTGCTTGTCGAAGTACTTCTTTTGAATATCAGAAGGGCAAAAATGAAGCCTATCGTAGTCCAATCCACACTCTCCAATGGCAACCACTTTTCCTTTACGAACGCCCTCTTTAGCGAGGGTTAAGAGGGCTTGAAAATGCTTTTCCGGGTCCCCACTCTCATCGAATTCTCTGCATCTTGTTGGGTGAACTCCTACTGTGCAGAACAGCCTTGCATCTGATTCTGCAATTGCAAGAGCTTCCTTTGATTCCTCGAGTGAGCCACCCGTAACGATGATTCGATCAACCCCAGCAGCCCAGGCTCGCTTCAAAACTGCTTGAATATCAGGAGGATGATACTGTTTCCCATTGTATATTCCTTTGAACATGCTGTCTGTCAAATTAACTGCAATATCTATCATTCGTAGTGCGGCCATGGCAGATGCTGCAAAGCGGGAGAGGGTCTCGATCTAAAAATCCTAAAATCAAACCAGTAGTGAGCTGCTAGGGTTCCGAAATAGTCTTAAAAGTGCAGAGTTCAAGCGAAACACACCTGGATGACTGATCCGAGACGGTGCCGGATCCGGTATAGACGCTGCTGAGTTCGACTCAGGGACTGGATCGCAGACGGAGTAGGTGGGGTGTTGGCGCCGGCGATAATTCCGCAGGTTAGGCGTCGATGATGGCGATGGAGTTCGGATGGAGGATCTGAAACTGTGAAGATGGCTACGAGATACGTGCAGCCAGAAATGGTCCAAATTTCTAATACAAATTGGGAATATTGGGTCCCCTTCTCCACGGTACATTCTTATTTAATTTTTATTTATTTAATTTTTTTAAATTATTTGCCTATTTATGTGGTGGAAGAGGGGTTTGGGACAAACGGGGTACACCTTTAGTATACCTCTAGCATTTTTTTTAGATAATTAAAGAGTTTATTGCACCATAACCCTTCTCATTTCGTAAATATACATCGTTATTCTTTATAGTTTCAAAACTTACGTTTTTGTCACTCAAAGTTTTAATATTATTACTCCAATGTCTCTCTAGACTAAAATATCATTCAAATATTATGTGAATATGTCCACTATCTCCTATGGTTTTGGAAATTGGCACAAATGCTCCCTCTTTTCTTTATTGTTTTTTTCTACTACATTTTTCATAAATATTTTTTAATTTCTTTTTTAAAATTATTTTTTATAATGTTTTAATAATCAATTTTTTGTGTTTGTAATAAAAATTAATTAAATAACAAAAATTAACGTACACTTCATTTGTCTCAAAATAAACATTTTCATTTTTTGTCCAAAAGAGATCTTTAATGGTTTATTTTCATGACGCGAAAATCAATAAAATATTCTCTTTTTTCACTAAAGCTCATTTCTCTTTTTTTGTTCATTAATTTTATATTGTTTCTTTTATTTTATTCAAAAATAAAAGAAAAGAAAAAAGAATAGAAAATAAAATAAATAAAAAGGAAAGTATATGAATTTTTTTATAGAATAAGGAAAATAAGTCATGAAATTTTTTTAAGAATATTTTTGTCCAAAAGAACATTGACGTAGAAATATCAAAACAATGAGGACAACGGCGTAAGTTTTGAAACCATGTGGGCTAACGGTGCACATTTACAAAATCATAGGGAGCGTTGGTGCAATAAACTCGATAATTAAATTTGTTCATAAAGACCCCTCATTTTGACTCAAAAATATCAAATTAGACAAATAATAGAGCAAATAGTTTTCTAAATAGTTATTGTCAGCGTTAGAAATTATGATGCCAAATACTATAAAATTTCTCTAGTCACTAACTCAAAATTTTAATACTAAAATTTGACACCATAATCTATTCTTTTTTTTTGTTGCACAAATAGTGATTATGGAGGATGAGAAATATAGCTATGAGACTAATACTATCAACTTTGGCTTAGTCCACACTAATTATTTTCTCGCACACATTAATTATAATTGTAAGAAAATAATGCTAAAAATTACTATGAGTGTCCGGATGACAATAAAATATGATTTTACATATACACAAGCAAAAATCGTCTGTGTCCACAAATTATTATCGTCTGTGTATATATAAATCATATATGGTTATCATCCATGTAAGCAACCATGATGATTCCTAGCACGATCCATTGTAGAATACATTTGTTATTTGAAAGATTCCAATAATATCAACTTTGATGTTATTCTTTGTGAGTTTGTAACATACCCTTTTTTAATATCGAAACATAAATGTTTTAGCAGATATAATTTAAGATAGTGGTGGTCACGAATAGAAACTCAAGGTTACGAAATTGGTGTTAGAAGCAAACAGGTGCTGAGGGCAATGTTCATTTTGGTGCAAACATATATTTGGAGTTTTTTTTTGCACATTTTTTAATTTTCATTTGGTCCGCTGATGATTAACCCCTAATAGTTCAAAAAAGGTTAAGCTAGGATAACCCCACACTTTTGACCTCATGTTTTGCACAGACATACAATAAACATCGGTGCGGAACAATCAGTTATTGTGTATGTGTGTTTGTGCAAAACATGGTGCCAAACATGTGGTCCAAAACTGTAGGGCTACCCTCCCTCTATTCAATACCAAGAGTAAGCACAAAACCCTCTGAGGGGAGTCGGGGAGTGGTTAGACTAAGTTTCTTCTAAATTAGGAAGGGACAACATAAAGTCAAAGAAGTCCAAGAGCCATTTTGCGACATCCGTCCCAAAATGATTTTATTAATTTAACTTCACAGAATTTAAGAAAAAATTGTTGAAAAGTAAAAAAAAAAGAGTTACTAAAAATTGGTAAGAAGAGAGAAATGTTTTAGTCACATATTCTTTTTTGTAATGAAAAGGTGAAGATCAATTTGGGACAAACGAAAAAAAGAGGGAAGAAAGACCATTTGAGGACGGTGGGAATATTTCTCTTTACTTAACAGCCCTAACAAGGTCAAAATAGGGGAAAAAATATACTTACTCCAGTCCTAAAAACCTTTTAAGTTTTGATTTTTTTAGTCGAACAGTAACTCTTTGACCACCAATTGTGAGAAAAATATATTTAATTATCATATAAATTCAATGTAATAACATATCAAAATTTTATACTATCATCTACTCCCTCCGTCCCAAAATATTTGCAACGTTTGCTTTTTCAGTAGTCGCAGAAACTTTTGTTTATTTCTACATTTTTATTGGTTATTTGATAAAATAAAATATTCTTGACACCTCTTATTTCAAAGAACTTTTCATGTAGTTGTTTGATATGTAAATTTTATTTTTTATTTTTATACCAATATGTAAATAAAATGAATTAAAAAATCTTGATATTTTGCCTCGAGAATATAAGTGTGGCAAATATTTAAAGACGGATGAAGTATGTATTTAAAGTTTGTTTAATTTGTGGTCAATGAGTGTCACTGTTTGACCAAAAAAGTCAAAGCAGAAAGTTTTTTGGATCAGAGGGAGTATTTAAATTAAAGTAGGCAATCTTTCTCGTTCAATTTTAATGAGGATTTCGATACACTGCCTTGTTACATATGAATCTTTTTCATCTCATATTACATATGAATTTGAGTGCTCTTAAAGAATACAAAAATGAAAATATGATGGGATCTGTAGGTACAATTATATGGTGCACGATTCAACATTTTATTGCTACAACAAGCAAGTGGAAATCAACTTATTGACCAAGACTATGTACCTATTGTCCTGACCTTTAGAGATTTCTTCAAAAAATGAAAAATTGCAGTAAAAGATGCAACTGTTTGAAGAATCAAATGGATTATGCTTTGGCCTTCCTCCTCTCGTCCAATGCCTGCTTCGAAGTAAGTGGAAAACCCCAAAACCAACTTAAAGATCCTTAAAATAAGTTCAAACAGAAGAGAAACTAAAGCTGCATTTGATTTGGCTGACCATTTAGGGTCAAAGTTTTAAGGAAATAGCAATTGTTAATCCTTGGGATAGGGGTAAAATATGCGTCGATCTCCACCTCCCCACACCGTACTTCCAAGTGGGACTTGCGGTTAGTTTGGTTTGATTTTATGGACGATGTTCGTATTGCTGGAATTCTATGCTAGGGGAAGCTGATTCGGGAGGAGGATGTAACTAAGGGTGTGTTTTGTTGGAGGGGAGGGGAAATGATTCCCTCTCCTCATTTGGTTCAAAACATTTTTAGGGAGGGGCGTAATTTTCCCACCCTCCTCTCCCCTCCAAATATTGATGGGAAGGTTTTGGTTCCTATGCCCTAGAAAAGCTTTGAAATAAATGGTGGGAGAGATCATTTCCTCTCCCATCCCCCAAACACCCCCTTAGTAGCATTGGTAACAGCACCACAAAACACAAGCACTGGTAACATCCAAAAAGACAGTCAGAAAATGATGCAATTTTTGAATAAGTGATCAAGGAACAGTACCTTGTTTTGGAAGATTCTCATTGTCAACACTAGTGTATCACGCATTCTACAGAAAAATAAATCGTTAATAAGCAAAGGCTACACCTATAGTACACTAAACCAGAAAAGGAAACAATAGACCAGTTTTCTGCAGCTTCAGTAGCATAGGTTAGTAACCAAAATTTAACCCATTTGAAAGTCAAACATGGAATATCCGAGCGGGGAGGATTTAATTTTCCATTCTATTACAATTTAAAAGCAAACATAAGAAAATAACTTTCATTGCCAAACATACTCTTTATAAAACTGTTATTAAAATCAGAAAATGCTAGGTAAGGATGAATACCATAATGGAATAAAGAAAACTGGAAAGAGCTGTTTAAGATCTAGTCACACATAGTACATCCCTTCTTAGACTGCAAAAACGTATTACCTGACATCATTGTTTGTTGTGCTAAAGGGGTGTGACGACCCATTAGGACATGATATAATGAACTGAGATGATAGCCCGCTAGGGATTTTCACCTGAAACCACATGGGAGAACATTTTTTTAATAGATAAATCCAGTTTGACATGGAACAGTTACGGCAACATTTTTGGGTGCATATTCAAATATCAAAATAATTTAATGAGAATCTCAACAAAAAGGGGAATACCTATGAAAATGACAGGTTTAGAATTAAATGATTTCATCTCATTATTCAGTTTTTACAAGGCTACAACAGACAAGGAATCTCGTCTGACAAAAAACTTGACTATGCTATTTTCATATATTTGGTGTTCTAATAGTACACAATTGATGTGTAACGTAGATGCAAGTTTTAATCTGCATGCGAGAATAGCAAGGGTGGGAATGGTGGTGCGAGACGCACATGGGCATTTCCTTTGCGGGGAACACTGAGGCGTGGGAATCGTGGAGGATGCTCTAATGGCAAAAGCATTTGGGATTCGGAAGGCAATGGAATGGCTAAAGGGCGAGTTTGGACAACGGAGAATTATAATCGAAATGGATAACGAGAAACTTTTTCTAGCTCTTTGGACTATGGAATGGCTAAAGGGCGAGAGTATGTCCGTCCCTCCGGCTATTATTTGTGATGCTTTGCACTTTGATACTCTAAATTAATATATACAACTTTTACTTTAAAAAAAATAGTACACAATTGATTGACACGTAGTTGAAATTATTCATATTTGTACTACTTCCAATGATCGAAATGAGTAAAAGATCTCATGCGACATTGGGTCCCTAGCTTTTTCTAAGCCGGCATCATACTTTTAATGAGAATACTGATATTTAGGCCCCGTGGCAACTGGCAAGTATGCAAGGGTTGTTAGGTCGCCGCCCCGATACGACACGCCTCACTTTTTGAGCTCATGTGAGGTGTCAAATGGACAGAGCTTTTAAGATCTAGATGTGCTAGAAGTCTAGAACTTGGATGCTTGATCACGATACTAAGTTGTGTTTAGCGTCTTGCAATATAGGATCCACTGTTAAGTTGGGCAAGTTAGTAGAAGCAATGAAAAGAAGAATAATCATGGTCTTCAACAGGCTAAGTGGGTTGAATATATAACTAAGTGGGTCTTCAACGCCTTGGGGTTAATAATATTGGATTGCTCAGACAGAAACGAGTAGCAATGGAGTTGGGATTATGACAATGAGCTTGTGAATCTTGTTGTTGACGTGCACAGAAAGAGTGACAGAATCATTAGGATAAATTTCTTTTCTGGTAAAGAGGTTATTAATATTGTTTGTGCACTTGTACTGCAAGTTGTGATAGAACTCAAGAGTGGCAGGGAAATGAATAAAGGAAAGTCTCTATCAGATTATGAAATCAAGATCTAACTCCATAAAATAATAAAGATAGAATGAAAATTTTTATTAAAATATGAGCAAGAATTTTAAACTCATATAAGCAATAAAGCCAAGAAGAATCTCCCATAATAAATATTGAATTACTTTTTGGATAACTTTTACACGTAATGCGCAATGTTTATAGAAGCCAAATAACTACCAATCCCTAGAATTTGCCCACTACCACATTGCCTAGTAACTATTCCTAGACTTTATACTCACTACCACATTACCGAGCAACTACTCCTAGAATTTAGGCTCACTCACACATTATTTACTACGTAGTAATTAACATGTATAAACTAATATATTTGACCCGTTAAACAAATGACCACTCTATTATAAATAATACTCCCTCCGTCCGGGATTAATCTTCCCATTTGGACTTTTTCTCATTTTTATGAAGTGTTGACTTTGGGAGAGAAATGTCCAATATACCCTTCATTTCTTTCCTGTTTTACAACCCCAACCCTGCCCTCCCCTTGTAAGCACTCACCGCCGCCAGCCCCAACACCACCATTGACAGCCCCACCGCCGCCCTCATCACAGTCGTCAGCCCCACCACCGCCCCCATCGCCGTCGTCATCCCCATGATTACCATCAGCAGCGCTACCATATCTTCCCCTCACCACCCCTGCCTTCCCCCGTCACCGCCAGCGGCCACCATCAACACCACCGTTCCGGCTCCATCGTCACCATCATCCGCCATCGTTACACGTGGGAGAAAGAGAAAAGGGAGGAGAAGAACGGAGTAGGAGAAGATAAAGCTATAGATCTGCCAGATCTAGGAGGAGATGGATAAGAAAGGAGAAAGGGGAAGAAAGAGGAAGAGGAGTGTGGGAAGAGAAGATGTCGAAGAGGAGGAAGGGAACTAGGGAAGAAAAAAATGTAGATCTGATCGGGAAGAAAAGAAGGATAAAGGAGAGAGGAGAAGATAAAGGAGAGATGGGGGGGCGATGGAGAAAAAAGATGGAGAAAGAAGAAGAAAGAAGAGAGTGAGATTTGATGGAAGGGGTATTTTTGGAACATTTGGTGTTAAAATTAGAAATGGGAAGATTAATTCCGGACGGAGAAAAAGGAGAAACGAGAAGATTATTTCTGGACAGAGGGAGTAATAACATAAAATAACTACATATGAGGCACTCTATCAAAGTGGGAGTGTGAGACTAGACCAATAACCTTAACGCAAGCTTCGGGATCACATAGACAATGGGTCAATGTGGCTCAACGTATACCACAAATGGAGAAACTATTCATTAGGGGAGATCACAATGGAAATACGGTAGCCAGCCAAGACATATTTGAGACTACGGTTAATTGGGCCTAGCTCCACCCTAAAAGGATCCTCAAGAGGTGGAGGTTTGCCAAACTTTATAAACTAGACTATGGTTTCAAAACCCATTGATGTGGGATATTTAACACACTCTTCTCAGCTTTTTTAAACATAGGGGTCACACTGCGTGCATCCGACCCCCCCTTACCCCGCAATGGGCGGGAGCCTTTGAGGCACTGGAGTAATGTTGTTGTTTTTTGTTGTTTTAACTTTAATTTATATGTAAATTTATGTACAAACAAATTCAAATTTTTATTAGTACTTCATATTTAATATGTCTAATTTTATTTCAACAAAGGGCCCCCAAAATGTCAGGGCTTGCACTGGAAATAGAAGTTAGAGAATGAAGCATTAAAAACAAGTTAGCATGAAACCTGGAACCTGGAGTTTACCTGGTAACCTGCTATTATATTTTCAGTGCAAGGTCTCTTTAAGTTTAGAAATATTAGTTGAAGTTTAGGAACCAAAGTTAAAAAAACCCCAATGAAATTTACCCATACAGAATCATGTCAGTAATGTCACTGCTCATAGACGCAGCCCATGTGCAACTATGACTCATAGTTGCACATGAGTGGCTGATTTTGAGATGTATGTAATCACGTGGAATGGAAATTCTTGCCAGTAAGTGTTCAATAACAACGCATTTGGAGTTTCCATTCAAATGAAACAAGGCAACAATGGTCAAGCACTTACTGACAAATCTTTTGAGAACTTCTCTGCAAGTACAACAGCTTGTGATCTATGTAACTGGACCTGGAAGCTTGATTGACTCAAAAAGAAAGTAGCTGGTTCCCAATTCTCAGAAGAATCAACCTATTGAAAAACAGCAAGAAATTTTGTTACAGCACTTCGGTGTATGCAAAAAAAACTGTGCTGTTGCTAAAAATGTTGCTTCTCATAAATGACAAACGACCCAAAGTTTAAAGTTTGATGCCATATATGGACATCAGTTTCAGACGGTTTTATACAACTAATACATCTCTTTTTTATTAAAAAAAGAAAAGTAAATGGAAATTTGAGAACAGAAAACTAAGGCCACTATACAGAATGATCCATAGCGTAAATCAACAACTCATTACAATTTACAAATATCCAAATCCAGGTAACGACATCTCTCTGCATAATAAAGACCTATGACATGTTAACCTCAAATGTATATAAATTATTCTCCTCATATTAAAGACCTAAACATCTCTCACTCAAGTTCATAGGAAAATTACGAGAAATGTTCCTTTACAAGCTACTGCCTACAGAAAACCAACCATCTAGTGCACACCTTTGATTTAGCTAATTTTTAACATTTAAACAAAAGAAGCCTACCAGCATTAAAACATCAAATGCGGCTTTGCCATTAGAGACATTAGCATCAATGTCCCATTGCATGCCATGATCTGCACGTACAAGTATTCATCAACAATAGGGTATAACAAATACTACGTAATACATAAGAAAAGAATAAGAGTCGTTCAAGCAGACATACGTGACACAGTTATTTTATTTGATTGATTGATGAGCTTGACTTACCACAAGTTATTTTATTTTGATCATTAGCAAAAAGTCTCACAAGCTCTCCCTGAAAACAGCAAACACAAAGCAACAAACTAATGAAGATAACACCTTGAGCACCAAAAAAAGTTATTCCGTAAATTGTTGCACCACTGCAAAGCACTCATATAAGTAAGGAAAAACTAAAGAAAAATGCCAATCTGAAACACAAATGGAAATCATTTAAGAGAAAGGAAAATAATAAGCTGCGCAACATAGACAGGTTGATGACCCATTTAAAATGACTAGAGATTAACTACTCATTACTCAAACAGTCTTATATCAATACAGGAGGCCACTAAAGTTTGTGCAGCTTTGTCAGAGGTAAGGAACATGCCAGTAGTGGCAGTGTCAACAATGGATCCACAGACCAGGTCAAAGACGAGGATGGGAGTATGGTAGTGGATTCACAAGATATGGACCACTACTAGAAACTCCAAAACAATGTCGGAGTACTTCTCACACGGAAAGAACTATTCACGCTGGACAAATCATGTTTCTGATACCACGTGAAACAACATAATATATTCAACACTTTGCCTTGCTAGAACAGATTTAAAGCTCCCTATTTATAGCAAAATACTAAACCTAACAGCACATTTACACCTATTGCTACTTTGTTAGTTGTTACAAAATGTTTGCATCACTCGCTACATAACTTACATCATGTTTACATACTCATCTATGATACAGTTCATAATTCCATACTAACTTTAGAATTTGTAGTCCAAGTGTTTGAGAGAGTGGTGAATTGAGTAGAAAGAATCACTAGGATACAAATTTCAGAATAACCTGATTTCCTTGCTCATCCATAGGTATGCACTCAACAGATATGAATTTATCAACATCATCAGCAGTTACAACGTATTCAGGATTTGTGGCCCCTGATTGATACGATCATTAAAATGTGAAATATAGTTCTTAAATCAATGAAAGAGAGTTCTAAAACATTCCAGTGCATTGCATAACAATGCTAGACCTTATAAGACAATGAGCTTACCTTCAATATACTGCCTAGTACCATCAGGATTATGGCGGACCCACTGAAATGCAGCGAGATGACATTGAGAAAAATCCATTAACATCAAATATGTACTGTATAAATTGGTTCTAATTATCTAGACTATGCTAAGGTCAGATCCAATTCCAGGTTCAATAGGCTTAGAACCGTATATGATGCTGAAAACTGCATTTTAAAATCAAGGATCTCAGGACTGCAGGAGAGTAGCTGACAAATTAAGAGTTATAGGATATTTTACTCCTCTAGTTTCTGCTTTCCAGTAAATGATATTATAATTGTATCATTTTTGTGGAGAGTTTGTCCTCTACGGTGTGTTTGGTTAACCCAACAGAAGGGGAGTGTGTGTCTGGAGGGGGGAGGATTTTTATGCTACCTCATTATGATAGTAGAGAAGGGACGAGGGGATGTATATTAGTGCTAGCTTGTTTGGTACACGAAGAGAAGAGATGGAAAAATAATACAACAGAAAAAAAACAATACACTTGTATGTGGGAGGGTAATTTAGCCCACAAGAAACAAATGTCCATCTTCCATCCGAATTCCTCCAATTTTGGAAGGGTGAGATAGAAAGGGAGGGAGATTTTCAAAATATATTTCCCTCCCCTTCTACTCTTTTACTTGCCCAAACACAAGTTAGCAAAATCCCTCCCCTGATCCCCTCCCATCCACTTCCCTAAAACAAAACAGTGGATAAAAAAATTTGTTGACAAACCAACCGTCTCATTGCTTAGTTAGGTGGCCTAAAACTTGTTTACCTGAAACATACAAAGAGAAGTTCCTTGAACAGGGTATCCACAACCTTGGAGTCTACCACCTGGCGTAGCATCTCCAATGATTTGGAAGCCTTCTATACCAGGGCCTCTTCCTGCAATGAAATACATAAATATTACATTCAAATGTAAAATATATTCCTTGAAATGTTTAATAGAAAGAGCAATACTAAATGGCTAGAATCTAGCCAAGTTTTCCCCCTTTTTATGGCAGCATGAAATGGCATTCCTATAATTCTAGGATGTGTTTAATATACTCCCTCCATCACAAAAAAAGGTTCATATTTGACTTTTTGAGATCAAAATTGAAAACTTTGACCAAAAAATTTCAAAAGAATATATTGAATAATAATGGTCAAATGGGAACCTTATTTTGGAACAGAGGGAGTAACTTTTTGCACATTAATAGCCATTGTTCACAGCTTGGCATACAAAAATGTCATTTCTAGCCACAAATTAATGGCTAGATTCTAGCCAAAAAAAATTATTGGGATATAAATAAGCTTCATGTGTAGGCTTTTCTCATAGGACCTTTGAACCTATTGTCACAAAAATATTGAAAATAATGTAGCGATTGACAATAAGGTATTTGGAAAAACTATCTGACCCAATTTACTCTTACCACTTAACCCCCCCCCCCCCCTCCCCCCCACTCGCACACCTAGGTTCTTATTGTTTATTCCTCTTCTTGTCTATTTATGTTCCGCACACAGATCTCATCTCATGTTATTCTCACCTCTCGGCCTTCTTCATTTTCCATTATCATCTCAATTGTTGCCAATGCTCATGATAGTAGTTGGTACGGTTGGAAGAAAACGAATCAAGATACAAACTTTACTTTGGCGTGTAACTAAAATTATCACATGATATAACAGGAATTAGGGTTCTCATTGCTCAAACTCTAAAATGAACCCAAAGGCCTGCCATCACATTGAGGTCTATGTTTGTTAGCAAGTGTATGAGTATAGTTAGGATTACATTAGGTAAGTTGATCTTCATTTCATATCCGATTTGTGTGATCTGCACATCCATAACGACTGAAGCTTGTTACCTCTGTTGTGATCGAAGCTCTGAGTTCAAATAGATACTGCTCTCCCTCAGGTCATCGCTGACCATAGGTGTTGCATGGTTAATAGATCTACATTGCTTGTGTATAGATTTAAATGGTTAATAGATTTTTTTGCAACATATATTCTTCTTTAACATGGTGAATGGAAACACAACGAGGTTATAAATGCTGGATCAACAGCAGTTAGATAGTGTCACTCGAAGTTAGAGAACATGGGATGGAGTATTATCACAATACCGATGATGCTTCTACTGATCAAGGAGAAATTGCATCCCTATTCTTTTTATGCTTTAATTCAATGGTCCTTAGGCCTTTTAATCTGTTAATGATAAGAAGATTCTTAACCAGATGTTATCTACTTAATTTTTGAAATTCAACTTATTCATTTAACACATGGTTCTTAAAATGTGTATGCCTCTCTATAAATAGCAAACTGAATTACCTTCTGTGCTCATAGAATTAGACAGCTTGTTGCCCCATGGAAATTGATCGGGCTCATTGGGCTTCTCCCCATAATTCACATTTAACCCATTTCCACTAAACAAGTTGCCAGAGTCATTTGGAATATTCCTGCAAAAATAATATAGCTATAAAATGTAGATACCAAAATATTTGTTGCAAATGCAAACTAAACCGGGACAATGGTGTGTTCTATAATGATAGATAGGGTTATTTGTCATAAATGCATTGACTCTAGACGAAAAAAGAAGCATATATATAGTACTCCAAATTCAAATTGCAGTTTTTCAAAGAATAGCAAAAAATACAAAATATACACGAAGCAAAATAAATATATAAGTGAAACTAAATTGCTCGAGTTTATAAAAATTTACTCTCTGATCCATAATTATATTCTTGTTTTCCTCTTTGGGGCATCCCGAAATTTAGGAAAAGTTTTGTGGTTGATATTGTTTCTCATGCCAAGTCTAACCCAGAATAGAATTACGGGACAGATAAATCCAAAACAAGTATGAATGATATATGAATATCTAAAGCAGAAGATAATTAAAGCTAAGTTTTCCAATTCTAGGCTTCCAACAGCACTTATTTAGAAAAAAGAATAACAACCCAGTATAATTCCAACTTAGAGGGGTCTTGAGTGTCAATATATGAGTGAAACTAAACTATTTAGATCAATTTTAAATCGAGGTAATTCATGAGGTTGGAAGTTCTTGCTTTCAGTAATTGATGTGTGTGTGTGTGTGCATTCTTATGTTGAACAAACAAGACACTACGGGAGTTTGTTTCTACCGAAACATGGATATATATTTCCTTATACTCATTTTTCTGGAGAAACAATGATACAGATCTTTCTTCTCTTTTATCTTACCTAACGCAATCCTTAATATTCTACACTAAGGCCTCCTCGAGTCCTCGGTTGGACTTAACTCCAATATCATTCAGTTCAGTTCAATGAATTCAGTTCAATATCATTCATTTGAGATCAGTATCATTCAGCTCAGTTTCATAGACGCACACTCGCACACATTGAACAATACAATCAGAACTTTATACTAAATCCTCGTGCATTTTAGTTGTCCAATGAGGAAAAAGGGGCCACACTTCAATAACAACACGTTAGGTTTCAATGAGGAATAAAACCTAAACTTCTGTCAAATTAAATAAAGTGATTTAAAGTATATGATATTCCTTACAAATTGGGATTGGGCGATAAGCTGCTGATTTGTGTGCCAATATTCCCTTGATCATTTAAAATCTGTTCATCCATATGCTGTTTATTATAATTTGGATATCCATGCATATCATGTGTCAGAAAGAACACAGTTCATAAATATTTTGGTTTTAAACGATCAGCAAAGGACACCCGCCATCAATACCATAGAGCTGCCTGGAACTTGATTATTCATGGGGATAAAACCAAAAGAACCAACTTTCAGTGATCCGCTAGCTGCCATAGAGTTCAATGTTTCAATTTTAGCCTGTAAAAACATAACTCAGTTCAAGTCCACTAGCATTTATATACTCCCTCCGCCCCACATTAATTGCCTCACTTTTCTTTTTGGTTTGTCCCAAGATAATTGTCACACTTCCTTTCCTAATAAAGTAAAGAATATGAGGTCCAGAACTTTTCTCTTTCTTTTAAACATATTTAAACCACTTACTTTTTACTTTTCAACATTTTTCTTAAATTCTGTGATGTCAAACCAGGATAATAAATTTGGGAAAGAGGGAGTAAAGAAACTGAACCCAGAAAAACTAAACTAGCTTGATGAGACAAAATTCTCAAAAATGTTATGAAATGTTCAGCCCCTCAAATCCAACAAGACCTTTGATCTTCACCAGCTCAACCATCTAGAGTGACAATTGTTCTTAATAATTATTGATCTACTTAAATGTATTCATCATCCCAAAAATACTTGGGCATGTTTCTTGAGAAATAGACCATAGTTGCAAAGGATAGAAAAACAAGTTCCCAAACTAAAGGTTGAGTTTCCTCTTTCCCCTAAAACTATAATTTCATAACTAATATGTCTAATAAAGTTGACAAGATTATGGAATTGTGATCTCACATGTGCAATTCTTATCTTCATCTTCAATTCGTCATGCACGTGCTGCAAAAGATTCAAATATGAGTTGCACTTAGGAATTGGAATATATGAGCGTGGCAGCAGTCTTCCACTTCCTCAAAAAGAATATGTGGGTAAGTCTAAGGGGCTGTTTGTTTCAGCCTCTTAATGGTTCAGATGTCTGAATGGCTCAGCACTTAATGGTTCAGACTGTTTGTTTCAGCCTCTTAATGGTTCAGATGTCTGAATGGTTAAGAGATTTGCCTCTGAATGGTTAAGTATTATACAGAGTCTGAATGATTAAGACCTCTTATCTGAATTGATCAGACATTTGCCTCTGAATAGTTAAGCAATATACTAGCTCTTAATGGTTCAGACTTCTTACTGGTTCAGCACTTAATGGTTCAGACCTCCTCTTACTGGTTCAGCACTTACCAATTCAGAAGTTTCCAAACAGCCCTTAAGAATACTTCTCTAACTATAGTAAGTTATAAAAGACAAAGAAATCATATTCCTTTGTTTAAAGTGAATAGATTAAATTTTATTTCCTTTGTGTTAACACATTATTTCCATTCCCCTGTGGAGCCAAAGATTCACTATTTTTTGGCTTTGGGGTATGATGGAATAAAGCAAATTGGCTCTCTAAACTGTCTGCGCTTCTTGTAATTGTGAAGTAGTAGTTGGTCAATGCAACTTTCGACGTTCGTCATTGATCATCTGGAAACAACCGCTCTATATTTTAAACATAGGGGTCGCGTACACCCGACCCCCCTTACCCCGCAATGGGCAGGAGCCATTGAGGCAATGGGGTAATGTTGTTGTTGTATTTTTACACATTATTTTCTCGTGCATCATATACAATATGTCTAAGCCATCATTATGTGGATATAGAAGGGTGCGGCATTAAGTGATATGCGGACAAATGACAATTTGCATCCAAATGAGTAAGATTATAAGAATGCATCTCTAACTATAGTAAGTTATAAAAGACAGCGAAAATTATATTCTTTTGTTTAAAGCAAATAAATTAAGTTTTGTTTCCTTTATTTTTACATATTATTTTCTCATGCATCACATCATCTAAGCCATTATTATCTATATACATAAGGGTATGGCATTTTGTTCTAAGTGGACAAATAACAATTTGCATCCTAATGAGTAATCAACATTCATATATACTCCAACACATTAGGCATCCTTATCTGGGCACATAAGGGTTTGGCATTGTGATATGAGGACAGACACTCATTTGCTTGATAGCATCACGATGATTAACCAACACTCATAGACTATTCATTCATGAATAGCTACACATATTACAGGGTGCATATATCAGGCCAAGCAAGAGAGCAAAATCAGTGTTTTCCTGGTTAATACCTTGATGTGGTGGGTCAGAGTAGAGGCATTAGCAATGCGGGGGAAAATGCCATATTCTGTCAGTAATCCAAGCATAGATGACATGAAAACATATCTTTCATCCTCCATTTCCTGAAACATAATCTTTTTTTAGATGAAAACCAACAACAAGGAAAGAGGAGATGATGAAGAGGTGAAATGGCACGTAATTTGCAAGATTGTATATAGAAATTTTGAATTCAATTAAAAATTCAAAATTCACAAACAGACATTTGTAAAGGAAACTCTTAACACTTGTAAGAGCCTATGCCTAGCCCCTATTAATGCCAGTCTAGGTTCTAGAGACTTGAGTACTTGGGTGTTTTTCTTGATTATACTCTGCCTATGTCCACTAAGATCCCATCCAGCCCGCCCCAACTAGACATTCACACAAGTGTGCTGGACTGCTGCCTAGTTCTTTTTAAAACACTTCTCCTCAATAATACACATACTTCTTTTGTTCTTTAATAATTGCAACATTGTTGACCTTTGCATTTGCCAGTATAATACCATTAATAGATCTAATTATTTGTTAAGATGATATATTTAAAAAGTTGATAGGTTGAAAATATACATTGAGATGAATCTAACAACATATCACATTGTTAGAGCATATAAAAACCTTTCCTGGGCCACAACCACAAAGTAACCCCCATATAAAAACCTTTCCTGGGCCAAAACCTGTCCTGCCTTTGCCCTTTGCTTTGTTTATGCATGTTATACTGCTATGGACCTTGAATGGGTGTTTCTTCCAGCACTGTCCCGATTTGTGTGGAGATACTTGCTGCTAACATGGGTTGAGTGGTGTTATGTGCTCTAGATGTGTGTCTGAGTGCCTGCTTTCATACATTTTACTTATTTCTGTTTAGAGTTCTGATTTAGGCTCGGGGCCTTGGCATATGTGATGAGGCCTGGGCTCATTTTTAAACTTAGGCCTGTGCCGATTTTGGTATTTGTTGGGTTGGTCTTCTGATTATGTTTTGCTTGATTTTGGCCTTGTTTGGGAACAGCATCTTGCCGTCTTCGATAAGCATTTTGGATAAAAATTTAATGCTATCGATTAATTCTTAAAACGCTAACGCTAAAGCCTAAAGGCTGCCGTCAGAAAACCTTTTTAAAATGCTAACGCTAACCTCTAACGATGATGCCAAACGGGGCCGTTATGTGTCGTGAGTTGGACACTGCCCCATGCTTATTTGGGTATGCCCGTCCTATAGTGTGCATGCACTTGGGTATTTCAATGTTAATATTTACATTTCACCCCCAAAAAATGAAGAAACAAATATGAATTTTTTTAAAAGTTATGTAGGGAAACTTGTGATGAGTGGGTCAGGTATGCAGCAAGCGCACCCATTAGCAAGTGTATAGTGTGTACTTGCACAGATCCCCTAACATTAAAAGCTCATTTTATTGATGTCTTACAGTCATTGTTAGATTTATTATTTTTGCTGCCCATTTTGTAAATCTTCACCCTGTCAGTTATTTCTAATCTCTGTATCAGTCAGTGCCTCTTGGTTGAAGCTCATCAATCCACAATTCCACATTTTCACTTCAAAATAAAAATTTTCCATTCTCAACATATATTAGTAAGCTTAGAGTCACAAGCATTCAATCAAAAATATCGTGCAACCCCGAACATCTCTCAACAATTCAACAGTAACAATGTATCAACAACAACCTACGATAATCCCAACTTTGTTGGGTCTGGGGTCAGCATGTAAGCAGTCTTACCCCTGTAAAAACAGAGAGATTATTTCTGTTAGACCCTAGAGTGATTGCGGCATTTGTTTATCTAAACAAGTCTATTTCTTTTATTCCTTCTTCTTTGATATATTGTCGAGTAATTTCAATTTGAAATTTTTCCATTATATATATTCAAGCTAGTTTAATAAGTTTAAAATTTGTATTTTTTTCTAAGGCAGTAGAATCATGTTATTAAATTATGCAAAATATTAGGTAAAATCAAAAAAACTCAGTATTATTCTAACTTTATTATTGTCTTAGAGAGGCTGTTTCCATTAGAACCTTGGCGCATTGCTACACTTAGTTCTCAAAATTTCTTAAAAAGTAGGAATTTTTAATGAGTCATTTTGATGTAGTCCACTATTTATCTAAAACTGAAATATTGTCAAAATGACTATTTAAGATCCATTAGTAAAGTATGAAATATTGAGTATGATATATATTTATGCATTTGGTTGTGTTTATCTTTTTTTAGGGTAGAAAATTATTAAATTGCATAAGACCTCCAAAAACTGGGCCTGGAATGCAGTTTCTGTTTTTGCCATTCACTTGTGTTTAGAACTAGTTTTGCTACAACCACTTGCATCTACAAATTTACAATGCCTTATTAACAAATCAACTTCAATAAATTTCGGTAGACATTAACCTAGCCTAATACCTAGATGGCTAGATTCTACTATGACAACGCAACTCCTAGCTAAGGCTTACACCTGTCTTTGGTGAATATGCTCACAATCTTCATTTATTTTGTGCTCCCTCAATTACGTTTAAACGGTATAACTTGTAAATTGTATTACTTTGAATGGATTCAATTGTTTGCCTTGTCGGTACAACTTTATATTGTACTCCTATAAATCCAACTTAGCATTCCTATTTCAAGAATAATAAACTTACAATTGATTCAAAACCCACCATTTTTATCATTCATAATTGAATGACCTAACCCTTGCTTTTATAGTCCCCATGCCTTCAGGAACTCATTGCAATCATTACTGTAATTTGTGTAGTTCTATAAGAACATGAAGGGAAAAATATTGGAGAAATAGAAAAAGATATGGAGGAGCGGGGGTCAGCAGTTTTGAAAAAAAGAAAAAATAGTTACTAGACTAATTTGCATTCTCACTGAGCCAATGGACACCAATAAAATCCTTTAGCACATAACATGTAAAGGTATTGACTATTGAACTATACCTTTAGCTCATTTATCAATCTCAGATTATGTTCAAGATCACCCTTTCTCCGAGCCAGTTCATTTGAGGCAGAAGCTATAGCTTCACTTTGTTTCTCATCTAAGGCCTATCAATCAATAAAATTGATAATACAAATAAAGTGTGCCAGGATCTGATTTCACAAAATCATGGCATAGGGTACAAATAGGTTTAAGGGTCCAAAAGTAAGAACCGGCAAAATTACGAGGAAAAAGACAAACCAGTCGTAGTTCTGAAAATTTCTTCTCAAGTATATATTTTTCATTCAAAAGCTGAGATTCCTGACCACATTGATGAAATGCAATGAGATCCAGGCATTAAAGTTAAATAACATGATCATACTGTCATTGTTTGGCTTGCCACAGGATCAAAATCTTTAAGAGAACCTCATACCCTGACACTGGCAAGAGCAATTTGCTCCCGGAGACTACGAATTTCGCTCTGCTGTGCCTTCGCACGCAATACTGGGTCCTGGTCAAAGTTAGGGTCACCATGATTTGCCTCCAAATACAGCTGTTGAAATCACGATACGCGGCTGAAAATATACACAATTACCATGGTCTTCTGCTCGGCCAGGCTGCTGAAACCCTCATTCCCTTTCAAACCGTTACCAATGGAAGTCATATCCAAGTTCTGTCTGCAAACAAAAGACATCATCTAGACCTACACATTGCAATAATAGATAGCATCCAAACATCCAAAATCTCACCCATATGGATTACCTGTTCGTCAAATTGGAGCTCTTCGCAGGATCGCCAACATCTTTAAGCAAATTCATAGAGGAATGACTAGAAATCTCGGGTTCCTTCATGAAATCTTACTTTAAGACGGGAAAATTGAACGCGCGAGAATCAAATCGATCAATCTTCATGAGCTTCCATATCGTCCTTTGGAGAAAAACTGGAAGAGTGAAGAAAAGTGATGAATTATAAATTTGTAATCATTGTTCATGATTAATCACTCGTCGTATAAATGATGGTTTTTCTCATTTGAATCAGGCAGGAAATCTATAGTCAAACTTGCCCATGCTAGGAGCGAATCCAAGAGAAGGATCTACGAGAATGGCAGAAAAGTTTTTTGGGGCGTGGGGTGCCATTCTGTACGAAGCATAGGTCCAATCATGGTGTGATAACACCCTGGGAAATACATCATGTCCACATCATGACATCATGTCCACATGGAAATGAGGAAAAATAAGTCTTTTCACTATCTTTGGTTAATTGGTTCAACAAATTACTATAACAAGAAAAAGAAAGAACTACGCTCTCCCTTCTTAAATAATTTACACTTTAAACAAAACAAAATAAAGTTTCACGTTTTTTAAATTTATTTTATTTAAAAATTGGTATATAGAGAAAAAATAAAATTTAAATGTTTAAAAAGTTCTACAAAACAAGATGTGACAACTAAGAAGAATATTTTTTTCATCATAGCCAATGAAAACACAAAAATATATAAAAGTTTCCACAATTTTTGAATAAAAGTGTGTAAATTATTTAGAGACAGAGAAAGTGTTAGGTTTTGCTAATCTAACTCTACATTTATATCCCATTTTATACTCTAAAAGTTTGCTTTGACATGAAATGTAAGTACAAAACTGGCATCATGTCAATTTTACACTTATATTTCATGTCAGGGCAAACCTTTGAGGTAAAATAAAATTTTCAAAAATATGTCTGTCATTTTCTTCATCAAAATGAAATAATTTTGTTTTTTCTTCTCTTAATTTATTTTGCATTTTCAATTTATTTTGTTTTTTATTTTTCTCTAACTTTTAAACTAAAGAAGAAATATTATTTTTCACCTCATTTTCTTTTCATTTTTCCTTCACATTTCTTGAACCAAACATAATGTTACTAAATGTGTGGTTCTAGAAATTGGAAATGGAAAAAGAAAATAAAATGAGAGTGAAATAATATTCTCTTGCTACCTTTAGCTCAGTACATTTGTCCAGTTTGAATTTTTCAAGTCAAACTGGACAATCTTTAAGTTTCAATTACTCATAATTTTAATGGTCTTCATTTAAAGTTGGTGGTGTAAATTATCGACCGGTATATCGTTTTTAGCCGGGCAAAAACGATAAACTAGTCTAAAAAATACACCAAAATATAAACACGGGGATTTTGACGTGGAAAACCCAAATCAGGAGAAAACCACAGGCCTTTTTTGGCGGTACCTTGCTAGAAAGCCATGGTACATGATTTTGGCTAGAAAGCCATTAATGGAAGCTATGGAAGCTTGAAGCTTCTTTGAAGAAATAAACTATAAAAATTCTAGAGTGTGATTGGTCTCCCTTAACATTGAGGGGGAGTCCTCCTTTTATAGGAGTAGTTGGAGCATCTACGGGGGAATATTCTTTTATTCCTCTATTTTATTAAACAGACCCGTTTTGACTGTTCTTTGTAAATAATTGGAAAATGTGGGCCGAGCAACGTATTATTTCCCATCAAGAAGTCCTCCACTTTTTTAAGTTGTGAGAATCATCAACTTAAAAAGTAAACAAGTCCTCCGAGTGCTATCTTCAGTCTTCTTACTTTCCATTCTTGACCGGTTGATATTATTGCTAGTCCTTTGAGTCTTCATTAATTCTCTAATTCCTTGAATCAGAAGTTTTTCCTGCAAAAAGTAATATGTACAACATTTTTTTTGACCGGCGTATGCCGTGCTCAAAAAATTATTATCTTTACCGAGGAGCCTAGTGTTAGGTGATTAAAATTCGCGTGGATAATTATCGTAACAAGAGCGATGTCAGTTTGATAAAGCAACGATGCTTCGAGTAGTTATACGACACTAGAGTTAGTACGATGAAGCGGCGGTGCTTCAAGTAGTTATTTCGTCGAGACCGATATTAGTACGGATTAAGTAAATGATGCATAGCGAAATTAGTATATCGAAGTGATCGATGTTATTCAATACGAATTAAGGACGCTGCAGCAGCTTTGTCGAAGATCGATGTTAGCCAGCTAACTGATGCAAATATCTTCATGTAATGCAGAGACCATTTCCAAAGTTCCGGAGTGCCTTGTTTAAAAGGCTCGAAGAATCGGGCATCCCCGATAAAAGCTCAGCTGAGACACTGGTGTACCCAATTCGATTGGGTTCAGACTTACGAGAAAATATGTGCAAGACCGATATGTATATCATTCTTGGTCTGTCTCGCGCACAAGAATGATATTTACCAGCGTGCCAGGCCGGGCCTGTGTCACATATTTTAATATTTTTTTATTATTCTGAGCAAGACCAGTGTAGTAACCAGCGTGCCAGGTCGGGCCTGTGTCTCAGTCTTCCACTTTTTTTTAATACTGAGTAAGACCGGTGTTGTAACCAGCGTACCAAGCTCGGCTTGTGTCTCTGTCTTCCCTCTGAATTCGTCCAAAAGGTATGAACAAATACCCAAATTATTGCTCCATAATACTAACCCACTCCACCAATTGTTGGTGGTGGCCCCCCTTAAAAAATAAGTGAGGAACTTATTTCCGTAGTATTCAATGTATGCCCTCCCACCAACATAATTAAATGGTGGGGCCCATTGTGAAAATAAGTGAAGGAGCTTGATTGTCCTTGCTCCTTGGTAGTTTCCCTTTGCCATCTTTCTCATTTCCTTTGTATCATCCGTATGTTGTATTCAAAATTCCCATCTTGAATCATTTGACTTTGGTGGGCCCCATCTTCTCCATACATGTGAATAAGTGAATGGATGCACAGCACATGTTTTTGGAATTTCTCTTTGTTTTCCTCTTTTGTAAACTACTATCGTGCCAAGCTTCTGCATTTGAGGACTGGCCACCCTTCCAACCAAATCTTATCACATATCAAGACTTCTCTGGTAGCAACGGCGGGCGGATTTTGACTGGAACACCTCTAATGGTGGCAGCCGTTCTTCAATCACGAAATTAGGGGGTTAAAAATGTCCAACCCTCACATCTTTCGCTTAGCTTCTTGAGCGCCGGGGTAGAGTGAGACCTGACGAAGCCGGCGACCAGAACGGAGAACCCATTGCTGTGGCGGGGAGTGGACGACGCACGGACCTGCCTCTCCCAAGACGTGCCGCCGTCGTAGAAGGCGAACATGAAAAGGCTATGAGTCGTGGAGCAAATGGCGGCGTGGCGGCTGTAGCCATCGAAGACCGGCGCGCAGGTGGTTGACAGCGAAGATTAAGATTAGCAGCAGGGCACTTCAACTTGGCGGTTTTGCTAATAGCCGGCGGTGATGCAACAGTAGTCGGCGGCGATGAAACGGTAGTCGGCGGTGATGCAACGGTAGCTTCGGCGGTTTGCAGTGGCGGAAGATATCTCCTTCCGCAAGCTCTTTTGGTACTATTATTGATGGCTTTGGGAAGGTGGGCGGCACCTGCAACCCTGACGGCGCACTTTGTGGCGGTGGTGACGGACTCCTGCGGTAGTGACACTTGTCTTTGGTGGCGAACTTTAGGGACGACGGCGTGGTTGCGCCGTTCTTGTGGCTTCAACGGTAACAGTAAATTTTAGCAAGCTATGAGCAGCGTGGGTGGCATGTGGATTTCTGGCAGCAACCACGATGGCAACCCCCAATTTTGGAGTCGGCAGTTGGTTTCGCCTGCTGTGACTAGAACTTTATGAAAAGGCCGTCAATTTGGGCAGTGCCACATCGGTGACTAGCTCCAACCACGTGAATGGTAGATCCAGCAAGGGCGACGATGATCAACTTCCTCTATTTGCCACATAACTTCGGATTTTAACCGCGGTTGGCCTCACCGCAGTGATGGAATTGGGCGGCTCCAACGATCTCTGGCTGTTGCGGGGGTGGATTGCAGCGGCGGGTTAGGGCGGCGGCGGCCGCAATGGAATTGAGCAAAGATTGGTGCTTTATCAGCAGCAAGCATCAATGGTGATGTCGTAGCATCAATGGTGTTGTCTTCTTCTTTATTTACCCTTTTTTCGTAAAATTGAAAGTCAGAACATATGTTCTATTTCTCCCCCTTTTAGTTTCTTTTTGCCTTTTGAAGCATACCCACTCTCTCTTTTTTTTTGCCCACTTTTGTGTGGTAAGAGAAAAAAATGGCCGAACAAAAAACACAACTTTTTGTTCGAGTCCCACGGATGGCGCCAAAATGATGGTGTAAATTATCGACCAGTATATCGTTTTTAGTCGGGCAAAAACGATAAACTAGTCTAAAAAGTACACCAAAATATAAACACGAGGATTTTGACGTGGAAACCCAAATTGGGAGAAAACCACGGCCCTTTTTTGCGGTACCTTGCCAACGGGGGATTTTTATTAATATCGGGGGTTGTACATGGTACATGATTTTGGCTAGAAAGCCATTAATGGAAGCTATGGAAGCTTGAAGCTTCTTTGAAGAAATAAACTACCACGTATAAAAATTCTAGAGAGAGATGAAGTGGGCAGGGGAAAGTGTGATTGGTCTCCCTTAACATTGAGGGGGAGCCCTCCTTTTATAGAAGTAGTTGGAGCATCTACGGAGTAATATTCTTTTATTCCTCTATTTTATTAAACAGGCTTGGTTTGACTGTTCTTTGTAAATAATTGGAAAATGTGGGCTGAGCCACGTATTATTTCCCATCAAAAGTCATCTTAGAGCAGACTCAATGGTGTGTCCAAAAATCATCATTCTTCTCTCTCTAACTTTCTCTCTCCTCCATCTCATGGTTTTAAGAAATCACTTTGTATAGCAATAATAAAGCATGAAAGTACTAAAATAAGAATCTTAAGTCTTTTAAAACTAAAATAGGAGTATAATGACAGTGTTTGTAAGAAAACGTTTTGGCATTGTGATGAAAAAGTGATAACAATGTTATATGGCACTATATCGTACGACGCTCACCCCTATATGACAGTGTGATCACTAAATTATCGGTGGTCCACGACGGCACTTTAGTGGCCGGTAGTGATAAATGACAATGTGGCAATAAAAACGTGACAGTTATAATGTGATAATATGGTAAGTGTGGTAGGGTAACAATGGTAGCGTGAACTTCTATTTTAATCTTAAAAAACTTAGGACTCTTATTTTGGTATTTTCATAGTTTTTAAGTTCTCCCTATTTTTTGTGTTAATGTTTTTTTGGTTGGTCTCCAACGTAAGGAAAAAGCAAAAAATGGAACACATCTTTGAACCAATAAGAATGAGAGCACATGGGGCACATCAAGGAGGAAAGCAAAAAAAATATCTCGTCGTCCGTCGTAAAAAAATGTTTGTGTGGAAAAAATGGAAAAATCACCAAAACCCACCATTGGGAAGTAAAAGAAGCTCATGCACACAAAAAATCCACACCATGGTGGATGCTCTTATCATTGATTTGTTAGTACTACAATGAGGATCCAGAAGAGCAACTTGTGCAGTTGAAGTGTACAAGGCCCAAAATATAAGAGGCCCACTTTTCAGACTACACTTCATTTATCTAACAATTAGTATCACACTCGTGCGTTGCACGAGTCATTTTAATGTTATTAAATTCAAATCATTTTTTAATGAAAAAAAAGAGATGCAATAAAATATATAGATTATATAATTTTAAGGTAAAAAACATCACTGTTTTACAAATTTCGAAAGACTTCTTTATAGACTACATTATTTGTACAATTTGTGGCAATATTGTCTTCATTGCATATCAGAATCTTCAACCCACTATGATTAGTTACTCTTGAAACAACAACACAGAGTTGTCCATGACTAAATATAAGTTTTTGTAACAATAGTCCAACATGTTTCAAAGATTGTCCCGGGCTTTCGTTAATTGTCATTGCGTACGAAGTAACCACAGGGAATTGTCTTCTTTGAAACTTGAATGAAATTCTTGTATCGGACGGTGTAAATGATAGTTTTGGAATAACGACTTCTTCACCCATGTGACTTCCTGATAATATTTTTCCTTGTATTGAGTGATTAGCCAACTAGGATACTATCAACCGTGTACCATTACATAAACTCATTGAATGATCAATATTTCTAAACAACATAATAAGCGTGCCTATCTACAATGTTAACTCATGATTTGGTACACTAGAAGCACGAATCTTATTTAAGACTTCGGGAGAGTATAGGTCACTGAAAAAACTTGAACTGCAATCCGAGTTCTCAACTTTGTCAAAACTAAGGTATGTTCGAGACTGCTGCTTAGATTCATCGCTGTCTTATACTCCGTATTCATTTATGGAATCGACGACATCCAATGTAGGAGCCAAAATTGCGCGCTCCTGCAAGTAGCTTAGTTCATTGGCTATTTTTTGAAAGTCTAGATAAATCGAATCCACTATAGTAGCTATTGGTTCTTCAAAAGATGCAAGTAACATGTCATCAGGAATTATCACATCAGCATTAACCTGCATGATTAGAATTGCCATAAATTTAAACCACATGTTGCTTATATTTTAAAAACTACAAAGCTCCAAAAATGCATTTGGACTTACTTTTCTCTAAAAGCTTTAATTTCATCTCAGTCGTCGTTGAGTAAAACTTTGCTCACAGAATAAAATGTTGTAATAGACACTTACTCTAAAGTATTAAAAAACAAACAAATAGAATATAATTAATTCTTTGGGTACATGTATTTCAAAAATAATTTGAATTAATTTATAAGAATACCATTGTATAGCTTAGGTTTCACCATTTGCAACACCAAAATTGGAAGGGTCGAATCCATTACATTCAAACCATCAATCAAAACATTAACATGATTTCCCTATTACGTACAATTTAACCGAAATGCATTTAGTTATTTAAAATATGAAAATGTTTACGTTCTATAATACTGGATGCAATTAATAAAATTTCATGATTAGAAATTTCTTACTAAAATAATGCCTTAAATATTAATTAGTTACTAATTAATATACATCCGAAAATAATTTTTTTATAAAATGAATTCAGTTTTTTAAAGTCACATACATGTGGTCCTCCAAGATAACTTCCATCATTTGCTCTGGAGCATGATTTACCATACGGGTTTCGGGCGCGATTCAGCTAACAACCTTCCCAATTATATCTGAAAGTCCAAAAAATATACAATTTTATAAATTTCATAATCATAATTTATTAAATGATGTAAATGTAAATGACTCTTACCAACTAAAAAAACTTGGTCAACAATCTTTGTTTTGAGTATATCTTCAAAACTCTTGAAGTTGTATTGGAAATTAGGAAATCAATTTTCCGAGAGTTTTTGAATCTTGGTCCTTCCAAAAAGCTGCAGCATGCAAGGGTGGTCGGTAGTTTTTGTGCATTGGAAATTGCGCATAACATTGACTCTCATCACTAAGTAAACAACATTTTCTTGTAAATCTTCTTTGAATGTGCGTATATTAGTATCTTTGATTTGAGCATGGATCTGATCGCCCTAACAACAAATATAAAACGTTTACATATAATCAAATTTAATTTTTTTAAAAGATTTATATGTTAAATATAAAATAATGTAGAACTAACCTCTGAGTCGTGAAAAATAACATCCAATGATTCCGGCCCCCGAGAATGAGCAGGAACGTGATAAACTCTTAGCGCTCTTAGTTTCATCATCAATAGTCCTGACATCTCATCAGCATTTTTAAAAGCGGCTATGATCCCCATGTTCGTACAAAAAGCGATGTTGAAGCACCGAGTTAAAACATACATTGATTAATCTTACTACATTGGTCTGGAAAGTACCGTATTTATAGTATATACAATTGCAATAAAATTTGGTTGATGTATAATAAAATTTATGAAATTCAGTGTATAATTATATAATAAAATTTGGTAAGAATAAAATAATTATTCTTACCATAATTTTTTTATGAAATTCGGCATATAATTGTATAAGTTACCTTTTTTAATTATTTCCAATTTTTAAAATCTTAGGCTTTGCAATATTGTATTGCAGTCAAAAACTGAAGACGTCTCAGGTGACCAGAAACGAAAGGACTTTTCTCTTATCTCATTCTCAAGGCAGATCAGACAAGCACAGAAGCATGGCTGCTCCCTCTTCCACTGACCACACCGATCAGGTTTCTGATTCTTTCACCGTTATACTTTCAAATCTTTTCCCCATTTTGAGTTTGGCTCTAGGGTACGGCTATCATTTCGAATTTTGTGTTAGGAACTCATACATCACTCACTACCTTTATTCACATTCTGATGCATAATTGCATACCTGGTACTGTAATCGAAATAGAAATAGCTCCAGATTCTTGTTTTGTCTTCCTTAGTACGTAGTATAATCTTTTATTTTCTGGTAACTTGCTGTTTATGATGTTTAGGTTCTTGTCCAGGAGACATCATGTGTGAGAACTTTCATACTAAACAGACCCAAGCAACTTAATGCTCTTTCTTTTGAGATGGTAAGTTCAAGAGGGATCCATATGTACTCCATTGAAAAAAAAACATTACTGATTTCACAAAGCTATGTTTCGAAGTTCCTTTTTTTTTTAATTATTTGGCTGACCCATTTTTGGACTGCCTGGGTAGAGTTTTTAAAATGACAACAATAAATAGGGAGGAGGGAAAGGAGTACTATTCTCAGTGTTGGATTAGAATGGACATTGAGTTCAGTCAATGGTATATGATCAAGTATCAACTTAGAGGAGAAGGAATTCAGATTGATTATGGGTAGTTTGCGTTGGTTTTGGGTGTGCCTGGATAGTGTGTAGTTTGCGGGCTCACTAACACTACGTTTGGTTCAAGGTTTTTGAAAGGGAAAAGAAAATAAAATGATTCAGAAAACACTTGTTCTTATTTGGTTAGAATAAACTAACCAAACAAGAAAAGAAAATGAGTTGAAAGAATAAAGTCAATAAACTAAGAAGAGAGAAAACAGATTTCCTTCCAATTTGTCAAGGAAAAGGAGAGAAACCTTTTTCTCTTCCTTCCTAATTCCTTGAAGCAAACATAGTGTAAGTGTACAGAAGAGTTTTTGGATACTGGGAATTACAGGGGTGAGCGGGAGAGAAGTTATTCTTATATTTTTGTTTGTGATTTCTTACCCCGTTGAAGGATATAGTTTTATTGGAATTAGCATCCGGGTTTGCGGTACAATTTCTCTGTCCAAATAGTTTCCTCATGATGTATTGTATGAGATGCTGTCTTTTTTTTAGCCATGGCTAGTTTTCCTCTCCTTGATTTTTTGATCTACTACAGAGTACTCTGTACTATTTAACTGGCCATTTCCATGCATATGCTGTCATTTTCACATGTTTTTCCCATTCTAGTATAATCATGTTTTTATTCTCACTCAAAGTATTTGTCACATGTTGATCTAATGAGTTGAGACTATGTGCTTTGCTTAGTCCAGGTATCTCAGTTATTAGAACTTTTCCTACTCTGCGAAAATGATTCTAAAGTCAAGTTGATTATCTTGAAGGTATGTTTTAACTTCATAGCTATTTTCCCATTTATATTCAACCGCTACACTTTCATACACTATGAAGGTAG